TCTCTCTCTCTCTCTCTCTCTCTCTCTCTCTCTCTCTCTCTCTCTCTCTCTCTGTGTGTGTGTGTGTGTGTGTGTGTGTGTGTGTGTGTGTCTGTGTGTGTGTGTGTGTGTGTCTGTGTGTGTGCGTACGCATCCGCGTCTGTTCTTATGGGGGACAGGGAAGAACCGAAAAGAAATATACACGGGCATGGGAGTAATCTTTATACGGGAACAGGAGGCGCAGGACAACGAGGACGACGTAGCCGATGAATAGAAGCTTAGTAGAAGGAGCAAAATGACGAACGGAGAAGGGTCGAAGCGGACTGACACCCCTTCCTCTACCCCTACTTTCCCTTCTGCCCGCCCTGCCGCCGCCTGACTCATTTTGTGTGTACTTCCTTCCATATCTCCCATGCATTCATCCAACATGTCCCTCACGGCTTCCTCGCCTGGCCATCACAACCACGTCCACACGCACGCACACGCACCCACACCCACACCCACACACACCCACACACACACACCCACACACACACACCCACACACAATGCAACAAACACGCACAAACGCACACACGCACACACACACACGAACAGACTCAGAGTTTTACCTGTCTGGGTTTCTGTGAATGCCTATGGCACTTCTGATGAACAGCGATAGCACCAAGGTGATCCAGCTTAGCCTCGGGATCTCAGCTTGCCTAATAAATTACGCCCCTCCATAATTCCCGTGTCTAGCAGCCTCTAGCAAATCTGCGCCGCTACTGCTCCTTTCTTCCTCCCCCTCTCCGCCCTCTCCGCCCACCCGCCGCGCCCCCTCTCGTCCTCGTCGCGGACCAGCCAGAGAACAGGGAAATGCCGAATCTGCCGTCCTTGAACCAACGTTTCCGACGGGTCCTCTGGTACTGCCCGCAAGCACAGACTGCGCGCCCAAAAAGACACAGATTGCCGTTCCCCAAAACTTGCACTACGGGCCCGGTTGGTAGGCATCTGAGCAAATGCTTTTACAGCAAGCGCGCTACCTGAAGTTCTGAACACGGAACCTTCGGCGGGCCGAGTACCCTATTCGTCCCCGTCAGCGTTGTCCACAGCATATCTGCCCGAATTCAGATTGGCTCGGGATAGCCAGTTCTGTCGGCAAGACCGGGCGGAAATTCATGATGGTAGTCAGAACACTTTTCGCGCTTGGGCGCCTCTCGGCGCCTCAGCACAACGGGCAATGTCATCGTGCTTCTGAGGCCTTCCGGGAAACCCGCGCGCCCAGCCTTCGGCATGGCAACGTACAAGCACACCCCCTACACGGTAGCACTTCGGGAATGGCCTCTGGGGAGTCCCAAAGGAAGAGGGAGGCAACTATACAAATCGCACTGCAATGAGATCTACTATACTCAGGTTAGTTCCTCTTTGCACATCACTTGAGTTCAAGAGCGAAGCGAAAAATCATCGTTCCATCCCCCCCTTAGAGCGATCCGCTTTGTTTTGACACAGCCAAAATCACCCTTGAATTCAAGCCACCTCCCAGAGGTACCTAGAGTTCAAGTGGTAGCGGATACTGCCAACACTCCAAGTGGGGCCTTTTTTTGTTTTTCTTTTTTTCCAGGAGGCCATCCTGGTCCAGGATTGGTCGAGCCGTGGAGTTCGGTTTCAAGTGCAGCCTGTTCAAGGGTTTCCTCAAGTGTACATGGAACCATAAATCGAGTAAGTGTAAAGTAATCAAAATATCTCGTTTAGTGTGCACTTGAAACTCAAGTATTTTCAAGTGGTGTCGAACGAGGCTCTTAGTCTGGTGCCACCATGGGGAGAATTGGGCAGTGCCAGTGCATTGGACGAGAAAAGTGCCTGTTGATGAGCATACACCATAGTAGTCGTCCTTGGAGCTATGGCATGTGGGTGAAGTTGCATGTTGTCGGAACAACAGGAGTTGGTATCTGCTGGCACTTGAACTCAAGGTACCTCTGGGAGGTGACTTGAATTCAAGGGTGATTTTGGCTGTGTTGCCCTTGAGTTTCAAGGGCGCACCCTTGGGATGCAAAAAAGTGAAAACAAAGCGGATTAACAGTGGTCAGCACCTGCCCACTTTGCACCTCGGAATCGCTGGATCACCAGACTCTTGGTACGCTGGTACACAGAGAAACCGCTACCCTTTTGGCCCACAGTCGAAACCAAGGTTCCCGATCACAAGAACACGCCGAAGGCCCGATAGTCAAAGAGCTGTGCCGAAAGTGAGAATGCACAGATGGAAGCTGTCCAGTAAGCAATAATACTTAGGTGAAGAGCCGAAGGAGAACCAAAACAACATACTCAATTGTCAATTTGAACACTTCCTAAATACCCCAAGTGCGAATGAGTCCGTCCTCCCACCTCGCTCAGTGCCCAGGCAACGATCACCAAGCTACCCTTTCCCTAGCTATAGTGGCAAGGCACTGCAGTCGCCCGTAGCAGCCACTAAGTGCAGGCAGACATTAACCAGGCAGGTCGCCGCCAATATGAGGTAAGAGCCCTCACTGCTTCCTTTCCTCCCTCAACCATCCCTTTCCTAAAATCCAGATATGTTGCATGTACGAGTTCTAAAATTTCCACAGTTATCCAGACTGAGTGGTACGAAGACCTCCAAAATAAAAGACAACTGATTTAAATGAGCCATTCGTAGCTCCTCAGTGCAAATTGCTTACACTCAGATATATACGGCTTAAGTCCCCGAGACAGACATACGATTACTGGCAGAATCAACCAGGTAGCGGGTGCAACTAGTGGATGTAACAGTCAAGGGAAAAATGACACAATACCAGTCTGCAAAATCACAATGAAAGCCAGATAGTCGAACGTTGTCCGGAAAGCAGAATGCACTGATATGCCACCTATGGAGAACCAAGGCAATGAACTTGATTGTCAACGAAAGCATATAGTTGCCATCATCATAAACGCGCACAATGCTCTTTCTTTCAACGACACTCAGCCCCTAGACTATAATACCATAGCTAGTCTATCCTAGACTGCATGTGATGAAGCAATCCCTTCGATTGAGATGGCGAGCCCTTCAGCAAACACTGACAACCGCCTGATTCTCTAAGATGGAAGCGATGATCACATGGGTGGTCAAGACGGCTACTATGAAACCCCATCATCTGGACGAAAAGCATGCGGACGAAGGCAACAGATGCGAGGAACTCCTGGCGCAGCAGCCTGATCACCTTGCCGAGTACGAGCGCTACGATGAAGAGTATCAATCTCAGCAAAACATCGAAGTGGCAGACAGAAAGGTCACTACTATCATAACCACGGATAGGAGCCTGGACAAGCACGGTCTTCAAGAGAAGCTACATATCCTCCGCAACGAGCACAATCGAAGAAGACAACCAGAATGCTGATGTACTTCGCTCTGGTCCCCACTATATGTGCAAAAAGGAGACAAATCTACCACACGAATGCGGACGGATATATGTGAAGGCTATCTACCGTTGCTCCTGCTGCTGTTTGCCCTGCACATTTGCTCGCTCGCACGGTCACATCTGGTTCGTGTCATCCTCACTCCTCATCCCCTCAATCCTCACTTTCTCTTCCCTCTCTCTCATGCACACACAAGCGCTTGCGTGCTTCCCCCCGAAAAAGAAGATCGCCGCGTATCCAATGAAAGTGGCCGCCCTCAAGGTGATGATGGTTACGAAATAGCACCAAGCTGGTATGGAATCGACGACGAACACGATGGCGAACTGAAGCATCTCGACCGCGGGCCAACCTGCCACTTTTCGCCAAATGTTCCATGATCAGCACAAAGTGAAACTATGGGGCCTTGCTGAGCTTCTCTGCATCGTTCCTATTTTAACATATGTCCTGAAGGACTGCCTCGCAAGCACGACCTTGCAATGCTCCCTCAGATCCGGCCGGTTCCTCATGATTCAAAATTGCAGTATTTCACTCATCTGAACCCGGCTCTGTATTTTGATAGTCCGGCGAAGTACCAACTGAGATAGACCCATAAAAACAGTCCTGGCACCGGTACCGGGCTGGTTTCCAAAACAGAATAAGGAAAGGTTAAATAAAAGTATATATATATATATATATAAGAAAGGAAAAATCGAGGGGGGAGGAGAAAGAGAGAAACTAACCAGCACCCCCTCGGTCCCACCAATCGGGCCCTCGGTCGGACCAACAACAAAAATCAAGCGGATGGTCTCGCCAAACCTTCAACACCTTGTTCCTTTAGGCTGCTTTGCTGCCCCATTGTCGTCGACTGCTGGTCTCGATCCCCGTATCTGTCCCTTGAAAGCCCAGTGCGCCCAAATCTGATGCTAGCAGCTGCAGAATTCCACGTAAATGGGTATCATGTTGTACGCGGGCCTACCAAAATGCCCCAAGGCCGCACTTTTGGCCTACAACCTATCATGCGACCGCCGCACACCGGCACTTTTTGTCGCATGGAAGTCGGGTTCTACCCATAGCCCAGTGCACACACCTCCTTATTACACCAAGGTCTCACCGCCACCGACACTGGCCTCCTCACGAGCACATGCGCCACGATCAAACGCACCGACCAAAGAAAAGATCACTTAGTCCTTATTTAATCGAAAGCAAAAATTTGGTCGACAGATGTGTTGACTCTATAACATCAACAAGAAAAGAAGATCCCACACACCTTCAAAGCTGCGCGCCCATCCTCTGGACACAGAATTGATCACGAAAGAAAACAACTCGGGGCTCGTGCGACACACTCAACTTTATCTCCCAATTTTCAAATCTAAACTTTTTTTCTATCACTTGCAAAATATAGGGCGGATACCCTTGTAAGGGTATTTGCACCGACACCGAGCCTTCCCGCCTCCTGTGTTAACCGACAAACAATTGTTTTTCAAGCAGGGAAAGGTATTGGTGGTTTAAATCGGATATACTCCGAACGCTATCATCATCACCAATTGTTGTCCCCACCCAACGCCCACTTGGTCACCCAATCCACCTTCGGTTCACCGTGCTTCTGAAACCTTATCCATTGATAGCTTCCAAACCATTATGTCAAGTTTTGTTCCCTTGGCTACCACTGAGGAAACCATAGACGCAACTTCTCTTGACCGAGGTACTCTACGTCTCGGGCGACCACCGCCACCTCTTCCTCCTTCCTCATAACCCCTCTGTCACCATTTAGATTGTCGATATGGCATGCCCTTCAGACAACACATTTCTTATGCTTTCACTACCTTGAAGCTCGTTAGGAGCAACTTATATGACGCATCCAGATGATGGCTCATCTTCGCCAGCTGACCGCCAAGCGTGAACGGACTCTGCTTGGTATTGTTATTCATCTTGGGACGCGCACAATGTCACACTTTATGAGACTGACTCCCAAACGATTCCGCCAATCCTCTTGTCGTTGAGAAGGCAAAACTTCGCATCACTAGCCTGTGTTCGCCTGTGCCCATTACTTTACCACAAAACAAGAGAACGCGAATCTTAGAGCAGATAGTCCTCGACCTCCCGTTCTCCCTCCCTGCCAATACCTGGACGACTTTACTCCTTCGCATATTTTGATGTTATGGAGATAAACTACAACTTCGTTTTTTACATCCCATGGTTCCGTCGATTTCGCTTGACTACTTCCCAGTGGGAGATTGAGTCAGTCATTGTTACAACGAAGTGCATTCCTTCTTAAGCATCATGGTTGACATACCCCCATACCTTTTTCTATGT